CCAGACCACGGCCCAAGTGATCCGCCTCTCCTCCTCCAAGGCAGGCCGCCGACTTCTAAGCGAGGCCGGCATGTCCCCACACCCCTGCCTTGAACGCGCAGTAACCCTCCCCAGAGTTGTCCGAGCTACTTACATGGTAACCCCATTTCCGCGAAATGTCCACCCACAACACAACAAAGGCAGACGGCTGGCCCGCGCTCGCGCGATCCTAAACCGTACCGCCGCGAATCGCAACTCTACCGCATTCGTCGACGCAGCGCAATACGGTAACTCCTCCTCTTTCGCACTCGCGGTAGTAGATGGCGACGGAGCCCTACGCTCAGCCGCCTCGGTTAGGCTATCAACAAGCGCCATAGCCGAACAAGTTGCTATAGCTTTAGCGATGACCGACCCCTCACTCACTAATGTCTTCACAGACTCTCGCGCCGCCATTCGGGCTTACGAAACCGGCAACATCGCTCCAGAAGCAGCCCGCATTTTACAAACACGGAAATATACGGGCTCGCACTACCTCTCTTGGTTCCCTGCCCACATGGGCAAAGACGTTCACCCACAACAACCCAACCTCAACGAAATGGCTCATGATCGAGCACGAGAACTGACCCGCCGTGACGATCAATCAGCCACCGAAGAGCTGGGCCCAGACGTGCAGTTTAATGACCCACTACTCACCTTCCATGAAATTACCTCCCACTACCGACACAACAGAAGCCGATACCCTTTACCCCATTCAAAACTCGAACGCGCGCAAGAAGTAGCCTTTAGAATGTTACAAACGAGATCGTACCCATCACGGGGCCGACTCAGCCATTATAACTCAGACATAAATTCACAGTGCCCAGATTGCACAGAAGTGTACTGTTCACTCGCGCACATGCTCTGGCAATGTCCCGCGTTACCTCAGGGACCTCTCACCAGTGAGTCCGACTGGGAGGAGGCACTCAGGAGCCCCAATCTCCGAAACCAACTTAAGGCAGTCCAGAGGGCCCAAGAACTGGCGGAACGCCACCACGTTCCAGCCCCGACTCGGGCGTCGCCTACGGTAGCGGCTGCTAGGATGTCCCACGTGGGCACCCTGGTGGCTTAAACTCCTCAGGACCATATATTAAAGTTCTTGACTGACTGACCACGTTGCCAAATTTTATAAAACCACAACCACAAAAGTTCTGACGCTATCTGGGCGGCACTAAAAAACGTTTGGAACAAATTGAACAAAACAACGTCCTTATAACTCAACCGAGGACCATTGCTGATACAATGAACGAGTATTTCCATTCGGTCTTCTCTCCCCAGACTGAAACAAACGGGCTGTTCACGAATGTGAGTGATATTGATCCTGAATTTAAATCTTGCGAAGGCGTTCTTGCACTTCTGCTGGATATAAATAAGAAGTCGTCAGAAGGGCCAGACCTAATTCCAAATGCTTCTTTGCGCCGTTATGCCGAGCCGATATCGCACATTTTGACCACCATCTTTCGCTTATGCTTGCGCCACTCAGTCTTGCCTGATGATTGGTGCCTAGCTCGCGTTGTGGCTGTCTTTAAAAAAGGAAATAGCTTGAAAATGAAAAATTATCGACCCATCTCACTAACATCAACCTGCTGCAAAATTTTGGAACACATAATCGCCTCTTTTATTAACGAATTTCTGGAAACAAACAGCGTCCTTTCCGAGTTCCAACATGGGTTCCGCAAAGGCCTTTCTACCACTACTCAACTTGTTACAACCACTCATGAAATCGCACAAGCTTTAGATTCATCCAGCCAAATAGATTTAGTCTTTCTTGACTTCAGTAAAGCCATTGATCGCGTACCCCATGATAAACAACTCACTAAGCTTTCTTCTCTGGGCCTTCCTGCATTTATAATAAACTGGATCAAATCATATTTAACGAACAGAACACAGTTTGTGGAAGTCGACGGGTGCGCATCTGAAAGACTTGGTGTGACAACTGGCGTTCCACAGGGCAGTGTTTTGGGACCGGTTCTTTCTTTAATTTACATCAATAACATAACATCTGCTATTGACCCGAGAGTTTCCATAAAATTGTTTGCAGACGACTGTCTTATTTTCAAGGAAATCACGGGCACCGATGACCAAGTCTTGTTAAACAGCAGTTTGACGGGAATCGGTCAGTGGTGCACTACCTGGGGTATGAGCTTGAACGCTGACAAAACAGTTCTACTTCTTGTAACGAAGAAAAAAAAACCCTTTCAGTTTTCCTATTCATTAAATGGTGCACCAGTGGTAGAAAAAAGCCAGTACAAATACCTCGGAATAACGTTCACCAATACTCTGTCGTGGTCAAAGCACATAGAAAACATCTGCGCATCTGCCACACGCAAGTTAGGCCTTTTACGGCATAAACTCAAGCGTCACCAACTCATGTCAAATTACTGGCCTTCAAAATGATAATACTTCCTAAACTGCAATACGCTTCAGTCGTTTGGGACCCCTTCCTTAAAAAAAGATAAGTACCGGCTTGAAATGGGGCAAAGACGCGCTATACGCTTCATTTTCAACAAATATAGGACCACCGACTCGCCAACTTCTCTAATGCTGGCGAATGGCATTTTAACCCTAGAAGATAGACAAAAAATCGATAGGATGAAACTGCTGTTTCTTCTTTATACTGGTTCCACGAAGGTAAATGCATCGGTATACTTTCAACCATTTCAATCGCGCCCCACGAGACATCGGCACACGCACAATTTGCTTCCGTATCGAGCCCACACAAACATGTTCAAGAATTCGTTTTTCCCACGTACAGTATCGGAATGGAATTCACTGCCTGAAGTGGTTTTCACATCTCAGTCTATGTGCCATTTCGAGCGCGCCATATTGTCTGTACTGTAGTCTGTACTCGACTTGCTTTACTGTTTATCGCAAATGTGAATGTATAATAGGGAGATAGACCCATCACCGTTGTTCTGAAGGTCGTATTAACCTGTGTTTAGGCTCATCTATATATCTCTGTATAATGTACTTATCCCCTGTATTTTGTGCACATCATTCATCTATCTCGCTTACGTGTGTTTTCCACTTAATTTTTGTGCCTCTCCTGCTTGGTCTTTTTCAAGATCGCAGTATGTTGTAAAAAAAAAAGGAGTCCGACAGTTCAGGTGGCTGGCACTGGAACCACGCAGTGGGCGAGGACGCCGATGGTGGCACGTCGCTAGCAGCAGCGAGCAAAGCAGAAAGGCACGTTGAGGATTGTGGTGGTGAAATCGGCAGGAACGCCAAGGTCGCTGTCGTTCCAAGCGTCGCGTGTTGCAGCTGCTTGAGTGTGCCGACAGCGATGCGTCTGTTGGCAGCGCAATGCATGTTCTAGACAGACCACTGGCCGTGCACTGCGCATAGACGTGATGCTGCCTCTCCTGCCTTCCCAAGAAGGCGGAGGTAATGCTGAATGACTAGCCACGACACTGGCTGGTACTTGCTTTGTGGATTGGTGACAGGGCGTGTGATCTGCCGTCTCAGACTGGTGAGAGGAAATCCTCGTAGACAGGTCTAGAAAATCCTGGCTTCTCTTGAGGTGTAAGAGGAGCACTCGTGGTCGGGCTGACAGCCTAGCCTACGAGCGTTTCAGCAACCGGCACCAGTGTGTTGAAAAAACTAATGAAATGCAGCGTGACAGCGGGCTCTGGCTCCATGGTGGGCGTGGTGTCGCGGGCTTCCACACGTGTTGGGACCGGCGAGGGTTTTTTTGCAGGCGGGTAAGCTGCCGTGGCTGGGGTCATCAAAACACTTAGGACAGACAGTGCAACTTAGCAAGTTTATATATTGAATCCGACGGGGCAGTGGCCAGCGTCGAATCTGTGTTTGAGAGAAGTGGCATTACCGACCCACTAGAGGCAACAGCCATGGACTCCGGGACAGCTGTTCTCTCAAACGACAGGTCTATTGACACGGAAGGTTGGTCTCCGTTACCTGTTTGGCCAGTTGTTGTCGGCAGAGGAATGGTCTGGTCTGGCTGTGGTGCGGGAGGCGGCCTTGAAACTGATTAGCCAGGTGCCATTGTGTCACTTTGGGAAAAAGGATCACGTTTAATGCCGTAAAACTTGTGCATATAGCGTCCCCCAGATTATCATACGGGCGAGGACTCCAGACGCAGTATGTAAGGTGGCGCTTGAGATCACGTGGAAGATGATATTCCAATACCTCGTACATTAACTCTTGGATCCAGATGCCGTTGCGATCCAAGGCCACCGCAAACTCCTCGAACCATGACTCTAGGCGCGAAGTCCGGAATGGTGGCAGTGGCGTGTCGAACTGGGTTGCCGCAGGCTTGCGCTGGCCGGATTATGGCCGCGAATCTCGGCGACAGTTGTGCAGCATCGGTCGCTTGTCCGTGTGTTCATGGTTACCATTTTGTAGCGACGTGAGATTTGCGGCTTGAGCGAGTTGGTACGGATTTGTCTTGATTTTAACAGCAGACTGGAGAACGAAAACTGAAAGTAAGAGCACAACACGGGTAGAGCCTTACTTTTCTTCTAGTCCTCGTTCTCTAGTGCGCTGTTAAAATCAAGTTGTAGTGACGTGAATGCGTCCGACGTAGACATGCCATCGTCGCTGGTTTAATGAAAGGACGAGACGTACAGGAAGCAAGCTGCCGAAGTAGAGCAGATGCCGTGGTGTTCAGCCAGCCTGAAGCACATGAACGTTCTAAACGTCTCACACCAGGAGTCACCCACTGGTCATTTTTCTCTCCAGCCAGTTGGTCACCCCTATGGCGCTACGCTACAACACCATGATTTCTAGAACGTTATTGTCGATAACCATGACGTCTTAGGTTTGCTGACGCTTTAATTTGTCAGTGCAGCCTTGATTTGCATTTGCTTTCAATATCCGTTTAATAAGAAAATGAAGAGAAACCAAACAGAGAGCGGTTATAACCAGCTATACTTTGCTCTGCATAGGGATAGAATATGTGCAGAAAATACAAGGACAAAACTCGTCAAGGTAGAACATGCTGCTCTGTCGAGCATCCGGACACTCACCTTCGTCAACCACTTTGAACTGGAAGCTGTCTCTTGTGGCGTTGGACTTTTGGTGCAGCAGGTAGAATATATCCGCGTTATCCAGGTCAGCTGCGCAATAAAAATAGAAAAGAATTGAGTAGCAGCTAAGCTAGTCTGCTCACTTGAGAATCGAGCAGAAGGTTTGTGAGGACACTCAGGCTAAATAGGTCTAGTAGATGTTTATGAAATACTAATTTGAGCAATTTATATCATGATAGGGTCACTTCGCAATAGCAGCTCAAAGCTCAGCTTCATTGGTAATTTTGAAGGCCCGCTGCGTCAGAGTGTGCGAAACTATTTATGACGTCACTGTTTGAACGTGACGTCATCAGCATTCCTAGGCACATTTTTTGTATCTTTTAGCTTACAAAACAGCTGCTCCGAGTTTTGAGAAGTCGTGCAAGCTTCAATTGTAATTTGAAGATTTGCAAAGGAAAAGTTGTGGAAATAAAGATAAAAGTATCTGACATTTGGTGGAGGGAGAGCGAGAGAGAAAAAAAAAACATTTGTTAGGTGGCCAGTGAGTGAATGTGGCAGGGTCTCTTAATCCAGGACCCCTCTGCCTGGACCACCTGTTGGGCTCACGCGACGAGTTGGCGCTGGTCGACGAGGACTGGCTTGGAGATCGCAGTCTGCCACGCTTCACTGTGGAGGTTTGGGTCTGCATTTAATGCTGCTGCTTGTGTGGCGGTTTCGCTGTCTTTGCGTTGCAGTAGGAGATGGACTAGGGTGGCTGCCACACCACAGAGTGGGCAGATGTATTCCTACGACGTTGGTTTGAGGTGGCGTATTAAAATGCCATGCGAAAAGGTAATGCATTGAAGGCGCCTATAGTCTGTGCCTTCATCTCTTGAAAGTTTGGGATGCGGGGATGGTAGAACCTGCGTTATAGCCACTAGTGTTGCAGCAGTTCCTGGTAGAGAAAAGGCACTGATTTGGTTTCTTTTATTGGTGTTCTGGTGTGGGAGGTGCCTTTAATTTCGTGTGGGGAAGCCAGGTTGGTGCTTTCGCTGGCCGTGGCATGTGCCACTTCATTCCCCTCGAGGCTCTCATGACCCGGAAGCCAGATATTACTGGTGAATGAGGGAGGAGTGCCGATATGTTTCTGAATCTTTATAGCTCTCGCGGAGATCCTTCCTTTCAGATAGTTGCGTGCCACTTTTTGGGAGTCGGCAAAGACCACTATAGGATCCTCTCACGTTTGAGTGAGCAGTGCTATAGCGGCCTCTTCAGTTCTATCCGCGCGTTTGTCCAGGATAGTCGCCGTCGCAAGGGTCGCCCATTGTGGTCTGTGACGCAAATCGCGAAGGCACTACGTCCTGAATAATTGGCAGTGTCCAAGTATCGTAACTCTGGGCCGTTGCGGTGGTTTTTCCATACGTTGTTTACCCTGGCAAGTCACCTTCTTCGATTATGTTCTGCATGCATGTTGAGAAGGATGCGTTGAACTTCCAGGCATATGCGGATCTGCGACAGTATCTTGCACGTCTATTCGTCGTCGGGTTCTAGGATGGCTGCGTATACTCTGCGTCGGAGGACTGCTCGGCCAGTGGGTGAGAGCTTGCCTCTCGACCTGGCTGATTATGTGTGCTTCGATGAGTTTTTCTTATGTGTTGTGAACACCCATACGAAGCAATCGGTCCGTTGAAGGATTTTGTGGCAGTCCTGGGGCATGCTTTGTGGCTTTTTGTATAAGTGAATTCATTTTTTGTTTCTCTGTTGTCTTTAGATTCAGATAAGGGGTTCTCTGTGGTATGCGGTTAAATTAAAGAGTTTGTACCCTTTGCCATTAAGGTGTCATCTTCCTTGAAGCCACTACGGTGGTTGGCCACCCGTCGAATGAGGTAAGTGAGCTGTGCGACTGTGTTCTAAGCCGAGGTAGGGTACCAGAGCCGGATCAGTACTTATGTATATGGACCCCAAGGAACCGAAGCGACTCTACTTGCGGTATTTCGATGCCTCGTAGAAAGACTTGTGGGTTTGGTGCATCGTTACGTGGTGGTCTGCACCGGGTACGTGTCGCAAGTACTAACAGTTCGAAATTTTATGGAGCGAGTTGAAGACCGCATGCTTTGAGCTATTGTTGAATGATGTTAACCGCCTCCGTGAGGCGGCCTTCTGTTTGCCCATGCTTTCGCCTCTCGTCCATAGAGTGAAATGATATGCGTATAACGCATGATGTATTCCAGGGAGAGTATCCAAAAGACGGGGAAGGCTGAGGAGCGCCACGTTGAAAAAGAGTGGTGAGACCACTGAACCCTGCAGCATAAATTTTTTGGTAAATGAAAAAGCTTGGTCCAGATGTTTGCTATCCCCACCGTGACCGTACAGTTTGGTGAAGAAAGCGTGCATATAGATACATGTTTTAGCACCACATCTCATATCTTCTAAATTACGTAGGATGGCTTCATCACTCACGTTGTCAAAGGCGCCCTTCACGTTCAGAGCTAGAATGGATGACTTGCTGTGTTTGCCTAAGTGGAGAAGGGTTTCTTCCTTTAACTAGAGGAGGACGTCTTGTGTGGGGAGCATATGACAGAAGCCGAAGATGGTGTTAAAGCAGTAATCATTTTTTTCGAGGTGTGCGGTAAGCCACTCGTTGACCATGTGTTTAAGCAATTTCCCGGCGCAGGACGTGAGGGAAATGGGGCGAAGATTAGGGATGGAAATGCTTGGTACCATGGTCACCTCTGAGTGCTTCCAGGCTGTTGGTAGCTCACATTTAATGCAGAAGCCTTTATAGTATTGAAAAAGTGCCTTCAATGCCAGGTGTGGTAGCTGTTTTAGGTGCTTATTGGTGACTCTGTCTTTGCTCGGGCTTGTGTTGTGTGTCAGCTTAGAGAGAGCCGCATGTAACTCGGCCTGCATAAAAGGTCAATTTAGCTCTTTGTTTAGTGCTCCTTGGTCCCTGGAGTTTGGAAGGCTGTTGGAGGTAGCTTGCAAGTTACCAGTCATGTAACTGGGTCTCAAATTCTGGCAGTAGCTGCTCCTCTGTGCCGGCACAGTTGTGGATGAGCCGTTTGCCTGTATGCCTTCGTTGGGTTTTCGCACATGTCATCAACCCTTCTGTACTCGTAGTGTACCACACCGCGGGAGTCAAAGAGGGCACTCAGCATAACTTTGACGTTGCTGCACACTTGGCGGGCCTTTTTGGTCTTGGTGACGTGGAATGCTTCCATTGTGACGACTGGGATATGGTTTCCAGGTCGAACCCATACACGCAAGGCTCGTCACCAGTAATAAAGGTGTTCATGAAGTTACTGTCATTACTTGTGAAATCCAGCATATTCTGTGAGACTTCAACATGAAGCATTTCAACACGAAGTTGCTTTCGCTCCAGCGTGAGCAGTTTCGGTACGAAGTTCGCCGCAAATCTCTGGCCAATTATTCGGTCATAATAGAATGTGCACAGAAAGTGATGATGCCGACCTCTTCCGATATTTCCCGGATAGTCATACAATGGTCCCTCATCAACACAGCGTTCACTTCGGCAATGACTTGGTCATTTCGGCATGTTGATGACCGACTGGAGCCTGGCTCTCTCTCCATCGATGTGCGACCATCTTTAAGCCGGTTGTACCACTCTTTAATCTGTGTGTGGCTCATATAGTCGTCAGCGAAAGAAGTCTTGATCTTCCCAATGGTTTCCATAAATTTACCATAAACTGGGCTGTCGCCCAGTTTATGATAAATTTGATGCAGTAGTGCTGCTCCACTTGCTCCGTCCATTTCCTTGCAGTGAAAAACCGACGAAAGCACAATGCACTACCACACTCAAATGATGCGTCCCAGTAACATAAGCTATTGGCAGGCAAGAAAAATTCACGCATGCGCACGAAGGTTCAACGTCAGCTGATCAAAACGCGCTTGTTTCAAATCCATCATTTGCCTACAAAAAAAAAAGGTTGGCTGCTTTTCTGTCAGACCTCACCTTTGACCCTCGAATCGGTCGTACGCAGTATACGCGCATTCTGTTGTGCGCCGTCGGAGCTTCAACATTTAAATTCTAAAAAAAACATGTCAGAGCTAAAATTAGGGGCCAATTGGTTACCATGCAGTACATAATAATAATAATAATAATTATAATAATAATAATAATAATAATAATAATAATAATAATAATAATAATAATAATAATAATAATAATAATAATAATAATAATAATAATAATAACAATAGCTGTGGCTTTACGTGTCGAAACCACGTAATTATGAGGCACACTTTTGATGTGCACCAATATCGTTTTTTACACGGGCACTTCGCCTCCATCGAAATGTAACCGCCACAGCCGCAATCAAACTCGTGACCTTCGGCTCAGCAATGGAGCACAGTAATTGGAACCACCGTGGTGGGCTGCCATCAACACCTAGAAAAGTGTTTCTTAGAGTGGAAAGAATGCTACAAAAGTTGGCGTTATGTATAGCAGTTTTATATGCAGAAATGAGTAAAGTGGCATCTTCCACCAACATACAAGTACAGTGGTGATTTAAGCGTATGATGACCGTGCCGTTGAGGTCGGCAAGTTGCAACCTTAACGTGCAACAGTTGAACTACAGTGGCTTATCCAACTCCTGAATGCGTGGGGTAACGTGATAAAATGATTGTATACAATCATTTCATCATGTTACCGCATGCATCGAGCAACTGGCGCAGCTAAAACCTTTTGGTATCTGCGCTGACTGTTGAGCAGCAGAATGGTAAGGGTCCTGCATCGCTTCGTGCAGTGACAACAGCATCATAATCGAAGCAGGATGGGCCGGTGGTCTGCGTACAAATTCAAACGTGACAATTTATTGCTAGGAAATGCGCGTGCTTTCTTATCCACGGAATTATTTTCGTGAAATATTTCAGGAACTTCAAATCAAATGCTTATATAAGAGGGGACATTACCTGTATGAGCCAAATTCGTAGAGACATGACGTAGTCACATCAAGCACTTGCGCGTATCATTAGATATACCAAATATTTTGATGTCATGTTTTAATCGGTCAGGACTGCACTGCATGTTGTGGAAAGCATATCACGCAAACCACAAAACTGTTCTTGCACAACGCTCGAGCGTGAAAGGG